TTAGATGTAAATGGATTTTTAAACTAACTTTTTTCCTAATGGTATAATTGAGATATATAAAGCTATACTTGTTGCTATGGGGGTTTAACTAAACTAAAGACCTCGACTATTTAGAACCCTTCAGCCTCGTTATTAAAATGGCCACCATATGACTGTTGTTGTCTATTGCATCTTCTCTTAACTGACATATCTATCAATTGGATATTAAAACGACCTTTCTTCATGGAGAACTTGATGAGGAAGTTTAAATGAAACCTCATTCTAGTCTTAAATTACCTTCTAATATGGTTTGCAAACTAAATAAGTCCATACTTGGCCTCAAACAGGCCAGCCTCTAATTGAACCAAAAGTTAACAACAACCTTAATTAATACAAATTTCTCTCAATCCAAGTTAAACCATTCAACTGTTCAACACCCCTTCAACTGTCAAAAACGCACAGGATAGGATGTCTTCAAAGAAAACCTCGTCTGAACACGAATTTCATGAGGGCTCTTGCATGCCAAACATGCAAGCCCGCACTACTCTTCACACTAATACTAGGTGTGTACTCAAGTCTGGGTATTGGGCTTATCTCACAATGGAACACCCCACCTAACAACACAGCAGCAATATGATAATAATAATAATAAAGTGCGGAAAATAAAATGAAAATGCAATAATATACAAATACAACATATATACACACAAATATACATACCCATAAAAATATAAAGCACACAAGCGCTAGGATTGACTCGCATAGGGAACAAGTTCCCTAACAGAGTCGCCAGCTGTCGCAGCTGTGAAAAAGGAACCGGCGGAAACAACAGAAGAGTCACCACCGAACTTTATTTATCCCAAAAAGAGGGAAAGGAAACGATCAAATAAAACCTAAAAGAACGGGAAAGACAAGGTCATCGCAACCAAATCTTGGGTTCGGGAGTCGGTTACGTAAGGGGAAGGTATGAGCACCCCTTATGTCCGTTGCACTCAACGGGATCCATGCTTGTTGTCTAATCTATGGGTTAAAGTTATCTAAAAGCTACTACTAAACGGAGGGTGGAAAGAAAGAACAGACTCGATAGGACATCACTGCCCTATGTCTATGTATTCCCTCGTGCAATGGGAAAGTCAGAGTCGACGTAGTTCAGGAAACTATGGGTGATGGGGGGAAGGTTGCTCGCCAAGACATCGCCGTCTTGTGCCTATGTATCCTCATCTGGTATGAGAAATCAGAGCAAACGTAGTTCGGGTAAACTAGACCACTGGTTGGTTAAGTGTTTTTTTATGAGTGACGCTAAGTCTCCATTCCAGCAGTTAGGGGCGATGTCTGTTTCCGGTAGAACGGAAAAGTAACGTACTCTTTTCTGAAAATGAAGTTTTAACAGCAATCCCGAAGGATAAAAGGTTTGAATTTTGTTTGTGAGTTTTAGTGAAGTGGATTGAATTAGTTTGAGACTCACGTCACACTAAAAACTATGACACAGGGGCGAATGCGTCGCATATTGCCCAAAGGGCATACGCTAAACACTCTAGACAAGCGAGGAGAAACCCCCACTCATCATTCCCCATGTACTTAAGGCTCGTAGCGTACGATGTTTGTCGTTCTTTATTCAGTGTCTTGAAGAAATTATGAGGTAAGAAAAAGAGAGACGCACACAAAGACCTGGGGGAAACCGAACCCTAATTGTTGTCATACAATGTACCCTAAAGTCAGAATTAGGAGGGAAATATGTCTAATGTTGTCATGCTTGGATTAAAAATCTAATGTCTCTCCTACCTCAGACTTAATCGGAAATTAAGTCGAACTAGGAATCCTAAGGGATCATACGAATACAGGAAGTAAACAACAAGTAAACACGAAGCGACGCAATCACAGACAACGTCAAGTATTAAACTCAAATTAATATTTACAGAAAATATGTACAAGTGTATTTAAAGACCCACTTTCAAATTAATATAAATTAAAAGATTAAAAAGTCTAATCCTATGTTAACTATATTTAAATAAATTTCTAAGTTAAAATCTAATTAAAGTTAGTGTAAACTAAAATATAAAATTAAGGTTAATTAAAAAAACATAAAATAAAAGTCTAATTAGAACTAAACTTAATATAATTCTAAACCAATTAAAAATATAACATAAATTAAAATCTAAATAGAAACCTAAATCCTAAAGTTAATCAAAAGCTTAATCCTAAAGTTAATTAATTAAAAACTAATACTAATATAAACCTAAAACTAACTTAAGACCTAAATCTAATACTAATGTCAAAAGGTTAATTCTAAGTTAAACTAAATTAAGGTTAACTAATTAACGGCTAATCAAAAGATAATCTTAAATTAAAACCTAATCTAATTATAAATAATTAATTAAAATCTAAGTTAAAACTAAACTCTAAAATCTAAAAAAAAAATTAGTTCTAAAGCTAAATATAATATTAATATTAATTAAAGTCTAAACTAACTCTATACTAAAATAAAACTTAACTCTAATATAATCCTAAATTAATTAAATCCTAAGTGAATAAAAAAAACTTAGTTCTAAACTAAAATTACCTAAATAAATCTAAACCAAAGATTAAACTAATTACTAAACTAAATAAATTCTAGAAGAAATAAACTAAATTATTCTAATTTCAAGAATAATTAAATCTAATTTTTAAAGTTGGATAATTAAAATATAAATTAAACTAAACTAAAATACTAAATTAATTACTAACATTATTCTTAAATTAACCTAAATTAATACTAATTAAAACTGGGGGGGGGGGGGGGGGGGTGTTCAAACAGTAAAGAAAATAGATAACAAAACTCAATGGGCCTAAAAAGGGGGTGGTAAAAGCACTTCCAGCCCAACCCAAACCAAATCTATCCACTGGATCAGATGTAGGGGGTCCAACGAAACCCCTCCGTGGACCCGCAGCCTCACGAGCGTCAGATCTCAAGGGATACGAGATCTACGTCCCCAAACGAAAAGGGAACATGGTGGACCACGCGAGGGTGAGTCACAGCGAATGATGATATGAGCCCAGATCCGGTGACATGTGTCACCGGTGATGAGAAGTGGAGGCAAAACAGCCGTCCACGTGTCCGCGACTCCCCCTTCCAACGATTCAATTCCCTTTTCCAACAAAACCTCTATTCTCCCAAAACGCTCTCTCCTCTTCTCCATGAAAACCCACTTTCTCTTCTTCTCACAATAAACTTTCTCTCATAATATCACCCTTTCTAAAAAAACTCATCTGAAAAATCACTCTCTCCCCTCTCGAACATTCTCCCTCCCATCTGAACTCACCCGTTTTCTTGAATCTTCGAACCCTCAACCCACAACCTATCTTCTTCTTTTTCACCTTTCAAACACTTCTTCTCCCAATCCACAACAACCGCTCCAACACCCGCGCTTCACCTCCTAAAGCCTCATAAATTTCGCTGTCTCAGAAAACCCAAACACCTTCTCAATGAATCACACCATTATATGTTCAACCATTACCTCTATTGCCCCTTTGAACGAAATGAAAATAAACATACAACCAACCAATACAAGTAGTAGAGGAATGAATCAGCAAACAAAATTGAAATAACGTTACCAGAACCGCGCAACGATGAAATTGAAAGGGAATCCTCAACGATTCTGGTATGAAATTCCTTCAGGTGTCCTTCACTCTTCCAAATTCTGTGCACAATCATATATCTCCTTCTTCTACGGTTGTTGTTACGCTGATGTTGTGATGCGGTGGAGACCAAACAATATTGATGAAGATTTGCGGTTGATATAGGTCGTTGTGAAAGGTTGGAGATCGTGTGGTCGAGCTTTGAAGTAGAATGAGAAAGAAAGTCTTTTTAGACTGCCTTTTCTCTACTGAAGATGATGAGTGAATGAAGATGAACGACCTCCTCAGGTTGTCTCCACGACTTCCCTTTTAAGGGTATGAATCAAGGGTCCAATTCGATTTTGTTGGAGTTTTTTACTGTCATGTGTAACAATACAAACTTTATTCAAATTTGCTAACTGTACCGTTTGCAGGTTTGATGTTGTGCCACTTTGGTGAAAACACGCATGGCTTGTGGTAGCTGCTTGTCGGTTGTGGTTAACAGGTTTGGTAGTACCTCTGCTACAGGCTGTACAATTTTAGACATAAGCTTTTTTTGTCTAATTTTTTGACAGTAGGTTTTAATGAATGCAACAGCAAGGTTGAGGAACAAACGAAAGGAGCTGGTTTTTTCTGTCGTTTTCTATAGTGTAATAGCTATGGTTCAAGAGCTACTAAAAATTTCCTTGTCTTGGTGTGTGGATGATAAGGTTCTTCACGATTTGGAGCTGGATTTCATAGGTTGTTATTATACAGGTCTTTCTCCTCCTCATTCTCTTATTATTTCACTATGTTATCCTCTTTCCTTCAAATTCATTGGTTTCTCCTTTTTCACTGCAGGCTTATGAGTTGTATTTATCATTGAAAATTTGTTTTCATATGACAGGTTTTCTTGTCTTGGGATGCAGGTTATGCAGGATTTCTGTTGTTGGTTTTGGTTTAGTGCACAGGTTGCAGCATGGGGCGCAGGTTGTTGTGTCATCCTTGTTTGGTGTATGGTTTGAAAGTGGATAATAGTAGTAGCAGTAAAAGGTTGTACGAGTGTGAAAATTTTGGCAATTGCAGCTGGCTTTTTGCCTGAAGAATGTGGCTCCTCTTTTTTACTTTTTACTTTTTTTATATTTTTTAGAGGGAAAAAAGTTTGGATATATGTATATAAAATTATGAATGTAACATGATGTGAAAATATCCCCGAGAAATGTCTGCTACTAAAATGATCCATATTTGTGGCCAAGCGAAATGTGACATGACCATGTAATTGTTCCTCTCCCTAATATCGATAGTTGGCAAACGATTCACATAACACTAGACTAAGAAATAAGACGGTTTTGGCAGCATTTCCTAATTCTATATGGTTTGCAAGGTTTAACCCTCTATAGAAACTATAATTGTTTCTCCACAATGATTTAACAGAGGTCATGAACATATTAGTCTTTGTCTTTGCTCCATACATGGGACATATGTCCAACACTATCAGGCACAACGTTGCTTCCTTTTTCCAAATTAATGAGAGTATCAGATTCACCTTCCCTTGTCTGGGATGCTAGTGCGACAACTTCAATGGCTTTTCGCTGATTCTCAAGAGTACAATAGTAAGAATATAAAATCATCCCAACCATGGCCAACAAAATACCCATGATGTTTCTCCAGCTGGATGGATCCTGGAGCAAAGTATAACCAAATGCCAATACAAGGCATGTCTTCAGGTGTCCAAGAACCTGGTAGGTGACTGGAGATGTCTTTCCAATTACGAGAAATGTGCTAAAATTGACAGAAATTGAGATGAGGCAGGAAAGAACTATGAAAATCGTCACTTGTGTTGTGTACTTGAAAGCAAATACATTTTGACTAGTCAAAAGTTTATCCAGATACAGACTAGAGATTAACAAGGTTGCAGCTTGGTATGGACATGATTGATATAGAATCTGGGTGGAAGAAACCTTATACTTCTTCTGGATAGTGTTTTTCATAATCTGAGCAACACATGTTGTAATCACGGACGGAAGAGATAAGAAAGATCCCAGAGCGTTCAACTGCAAATCTGTGACTGTTGCAACCCCAACACCCATAAGGAGGATGGGTAGGGAAAATTGAATTCTTTTACTGAATTTCTTCCCAAGAAATAGGGTCTCCAAGAGTACGGTACAAGGAATGATTTCAAGCTTAGTCATTTGATAGAAGCCAACAGAATTGAAGCCTAATCTCAAATTCAAAGTCCAATTGAGATTCTATTTAAAATCCCAAATCTAACAACAACTTTCTGCTCAAAAGGTTTGTGCTCAAAGAATCTCATTTTAAGTGCTAAGTGAAGAGAACAAAATGTGACAAGTAGATGCCAGCTTGTCAAAGTTGTATCAAAAATAAAATGCAGTGACCTCATGAGCGCCTTATTGCAAATAATAATGGAGACAGAAGAAACCACATAGAGAGTCAAGGCGCCAACAGTCCCCCAGCTGAAAATGTTCACCATCACCCATCCTCGTTTCTGCTCAAAACCCACCGAATAACCCGCAACTAAAACAATAACCATCATCTCTGATTTTTTGAATCTCCGATCAATAAGTTCTGAATCACTTAAATTGGTCTGAATCGTTCTCTGAGAAAATAAATCCACAGCTTGAACACAGTTGAAACTATGATCATGATGAACCTGACTTTTGAATTAAATTTCTCATGAGCCACTGCCTGATGATTTGCTGACTTTCAACACATGACAAATTGATAATTGATACACCAGTGACACATATAACTAGCACTTGAAGCAAACCCTTGATGGTTTGACCAAGATGAGGCCAAACTTCCCTCTGATGTTGATCGTGATTGAACAACCACGCTTGACTTGAAACCACGTCACCGACCTTGATAACCCAATCTTCTATCCCTGATGAAAAATAAACCTTGATCATGAGCTAGCTGGCTATAGGCCTGCCAACCAACTTGAGCCCAGGGACTGATGAATTCTTGGACCCTTGATGCTTGACAACTCTTGAAGAAAATAAACCTGACTTGATGATTTGATTCAGAGTAACTCCTGATCCCATGTCTTAGAAGACCAATGTGAAGTATGATAATGATGATGCAAATGAGCGCGAAGCAAAAGCCAGTCAAGCTTAGCAAAAATGTGGGCAAATTTTAGGGTGCAACAGCTACCCCTATTCAAACAACTTGGACCTGAAGGTATGAAAAGCAACATCTTCAAACATTCAAGGTAAAAGGTGATTGAATACAAAAGAACCCAGAAATTTGCGCACTACGGGGATGCATACAGTGAAAAGATTGCCATCCTAAAGTGGACTTGAAAGCAACGAGTACCAACCAAAAGTTGTGATGACCAAAATGATAACAAGGGCTACTAGCCAAAAGTCAGGATTGCCATAGAATTACATCCGAAAGTTGTGAGAAACAAGCTACTAACCAAAATTTAGGATCACCCAAAAGATTGCCAACCAAAAGTCAGAATAAAAGCTACTAACCAAAAGTTAGGATCGCCAAGAAAGAAACCAATAACCAAAAGTCGGGATTGTCAATAAATAAACGGATAGCTACCAACCAAAAGTCGGAATCACCAAGACGTCCACTGAATGCGAACTTGACCGAAAATGAGGTCTACCAACCAAAAGTCAGGATAACGACTCCGCGGGGAACGAAAGAAGATCTACCAACCAAAAGTCGGGATAAAGGTTACTAACCAAGAGTTAGGATCACCAAGAAAGGAGACTACCAACCAAAAGTTGGGACAAAGGTTACTAACCAAAACTTAGGATCACCAAGAAAGGAGACTACCAACCAAAAGTTGGGACAAAGGTTACTAACCAAAAGTGAGGATCACCAAGAAAGGAGACTACCAACCAAAAGTCGGGATGACGACTCCGCAGGGGGACAAAAGAGGACTACCAACCAAAAGTCGGATAACATCCAAGAAACGATGGACTACCAACCAAAAGTCGGGATAACATCCACAAAATGATGGACTACCAGCCAACAGTCGGGATAACATCCATAAAACGAAGGACTACCAACCAAAAGTCGGGATAACATCCACAAAATGAAGGACTACCAACCAAAAGTCGGGATAACATCCAGGATAGGCAGGAAATATAATTGACCAATTTACAACCTGAAAAGAGAACTCCGCTGGGGAAAGAGAAACTTAAATAAGCAAACTCTGTCGGGGAGCAAAAGCAACATGATTTTGTGCTAGGGTAAAGTACCACAAAGGCTTATGAGTTATACCGTTATCTGCTGGAGAAATGTTTGGCAAGAAAAGTAATGAACCTAACTTATGCTTTGCATGCATATGTTTGAATATGGCGTAATTCTCCATACCAAATGGGAATGCTACGCATTAGGGAAGATGCTATGCAAAATGCAAATGCAAAGGAGCACCACCGAGAAAGGTGCCGAGAGAAACGACACACAAACTTGTTGAAGAATATGCCCTGAACGAACTTCCTGAATAAAACTCTTCTAGGGATAATTCTATTCTACTGGGAACTGAGAATAACATCCATTGGAAAGTTGTCCCAAAGATCTCACTTTAAAGAATACCAATGACCATTGGACTCTGCTGCGGATGTCCACCATTTCTGAATTACTCGTCGAGGGAATCAACATTAATCTCTGCTTGGGGAGAGAAGTCAATAACATAGATCCTGTTGGGGAATAATGCTGAGCTTATCCTGTTGTTGGGGAATAGGCTCAATTTTACTTTGTCGGGGATACGTGCCCATGATTGCTAGTGAGACATTTCTGGTATGGAAACAGTACCTGATGAAGAGAATCTTGCCGGAAAAAGATCAATTATCCTGTAAACGTCAAATAAACAGGATATACATCCTGTGTGCATAAATGGCTATTTAGGTCACCATCCATGAAATCATTCAAGTAAGTCATCATTTTTGAATATGATTAGAAAAGCCCCAAAGTTTTTGTATGCAAAGTTCATCAGAAATATCAGTCGGCTTTTCATAAACAAAACATTAAAAGCAAAAACAAGAAATGGAAAGCTTTTTGTGGAAAATATTTCATTGATTAAAAGGTTCTGTAAATAGGCAAATTACAACGGATGCAACTCCTGAAAAGAGAAAATTGCGCAAAAAGTACAAATGACAAAATTATACAAATGTCGGCAATGTGGAAACAGACAACCACCATGTGTCAATTCCGCTATGACCCGCATGTCTCTGATGCTTCACCAATGCTTTGCCCTCTGAAGAGACTGATTTATTAACCCTTAGGTTCTCCAAGAATCTAACCGTGTTCACAGGTCAGACGCGGACTGTAGTCATTTGCTTTATAATCCCTAACTTTTGCCTGAATCGCCCTTGCGGGTTTTCGATCCACCGGGATACCCATTTTTGCCAAAGTCTCCCTTTCAGGTTTTCGACTTTGCGGGTTTATTAATTTTCCTTTTATCCCTAATTTTTGCCTGAACCTATTCTTTTTGGTTTGTCGGGATGCCCCATTTTTTCTTGGACTTTATTTTTATGTCCAGCGGGTCTCTTTTCTTAAGCAAAGTATTTTTTGACCACGTCTGTATTCATAGGGGACGTAAAATCTTCACCGTCCATGGTTGATAGCAATAAGGCTCCTCCAGAGAAAACCTTCCTTACGACGTATGGACCTTCATAATTGGGAGTCCACTTGCCCCTGTGATCTGTTTGTGGAGGGAGGATCCTCTTCAACACCAAGTCACCTACCTGAAAATGTCGAGGGCGCACCTTTTGGTCAAATGCCTTCTTCATTCTGCTCTGATATAACCGGCCATGGGCGATAGCTGCCAATCTCTTTTCATCAATCATACTAAGTTGATTCAACCTAGCCTTTACCCATTCTGCTTCATCGAGCTTCACATCAGACAATACCCTTAGAGAAGGAATCTCGACTTCTAATGGTATGACAACTTCCATACCATACACCAACGAGAAAGGGGTTTCCCCAGTCGACGTATGCATTGAAGTATGATAACCATGTAAAGCAAAGGGCAACATCTTGTGCCAATATTTGTAAGTCACCACCATTTTCTGCACTATCTTCTTGATATTCTTATTGGCTGCCTCAACAACACCATCCATCTTCGGACGGTACGGAGAAGAGTTGTGGTGTTCAATTTTAAAATTATGGCACAATTCTTTCATCATCTTGTTGTTCAAATTCGAACCATTGTCAGTAATGATTCGTTCTGGCACTCCATATCGGCAGATGATGTCTTTCTTTATAAAGCGAGCAACTACTTGTCTAGTCACGTTGGCGAAGGAAGCCACCTCTACCCACTTGGTGAAATAATCAATTGCTACCAAGATAAAGCGATGCCCATTGGAGGCGGTTGGTTCAATCTTGCCAATCATATTGATGCCCCACATTGCAAAAGGCCAAGGAGTTGTCAATACATTCAGAGGACTCGATGGTACATGCATCTTGTTAGCATAAATTTGACACTTATGGCATTTCCTGGCATACTTAAAACAGTCGGACTCCATAGTCATCCAGTAATACCCTGCTCTCAATAGTTTTCTAGACATTGCATGCCCTCCAGCATGAGTACCAAAAGAACCTTCGTGGACCTCCTGCATCAGCAAAGTTGCTTCATTTTCATCCATACAACGCAACAATACCAGGTCGAAATTTCTTTTGTATAACACATCATCCTTGTTCAAGTAAAAGTTTCCCGACAACCTCCTCGGAGTCTTCTTATCTCTACTTGATGCCCCAGGCGAATACTCTTGAGTCTTGAGGAAATTTCTGATGTCAAAATACCAAGGCTTCCCATCTGGCGCTTCTTCTACTGCAAATATAAAATCTGGCCTATCGAGACGCATGATAGTGATCATTGGAGCTTCATTCTAGTAATTCACTTTATACATTGATGATAACATTGCCAAGGCGTCCGCCATCTGATTTTCAGCCCTCGGTACGTGATGAAATTCAACCCTGTCGAAGAAAGGCAGAAGTCTTCTTGCATAGTTCATATAAGGCACCAGGTTGGCTTGACGAGTTTCCCACTCTCCTTTGATCTGATTGACGACTAAAGTTGAATCACCATACACATCAAGATTGTTGATTCTCAAATCAATAGCTTCTTCTATACCCATGATGCATGCTTCATATTCAGCTTCATTGTTGGTGCAGGCGAACGTTAATCGGGTGGTGAATGGTATGTAAGAACCGTGAG